TTTCAATGGAGTTTTTAATCTCCTGGAAATCTGTTTGTATCTGTTTTATGGATTCCATTTGTTTCCTATGTTGGGATTCCATCTTGTCCCTAAGCTCCTCTTTTTTTTATCTGTGTCCTCTCTAGATTTATTAATCATGTCTTGTACAATGGGCACAAACTCTGCTATTATCAGAGAAATTATTTCTGATTTAATTTGTTCCAGATCCTCTTTTGTTGACAGTTCAGGAAGTCCAGGTGGTTGAGTATCAGAGTATTCCATCTCATTTCCCTTTGGGTTGCTGTAGGTGATCTGGAAGTCTGGTTTTGAGACTTGTTTAGTGTCGTCTCATTTCAATGGGGTTGGGGGTTGCTGTTTTCACCCACGTGGCTCACCTCCTCTGGCCTGGGAGTAATGGAACAGTGGCCCAGAAGCCCCTTCCTCTGGTCTGGGAGTGGTGGAACCACTGCAATATTTCTTAATGCTTCCTATTTTATTAAGATTTTTTTGTCAGTGCTCAAGATTTACATTTATTCAGGAATGGCTCAGTAAATTAATTCACTAAAATATTTATAAAAGAGATAGAAGTGGAGTTTAGGGTACAGTGCTTCTCTAGCATGTGCAAAACTCTGGGATTGATCCTTATCACTGTCAAAACAATGTTTATGCATATACCCTCTGAAATCAAACTGTGCTAACATTTTCTCAGGGCTTTATATGATATGCTCTGAGATCAAGAATGTTCTTGTCATAGACTCATTATTGCTTTTAGTAAGATAGATAAATGATCCTCTTTGACTTTACACAGAAAGATCTGGAACTAAATCATAAAACAGAAAAATTTAGGGAAGAATGGAGGCAGAGATCATATTCAACTGATCCTCCAAATGTCAACATGGAAAAATAAATAGACCAAGAAAAAAAAAACAGAAAGAAAGAGAAGAAGGAATAAAACCAATAGCTCAGGAAACAGAATCAAAAGTAGACGAATGGGATTACATCAAACTAAAATGATTCTGAAGAGCAAAGGAAACAATCAACAGAATGAAGAGACAACCTAAAGTTTGACAGGGAATATTTGACAAACATCTATGTTACAAAAATTAATTCCAGAATGTTTAAGGAACAGAAAAATCTTGACACCAAGTAAACAAGTATTCAAGTTTCAAAAATAGACTAATAAATGAATAAATGCTTCTTAAAAGAAGAGATACAAATGCTCAACAAATGCTAAATATCATTAGCCATCTGGATAATGCAAGTCAAAACTACAATGAGACAATTCATCTAAGTTCAAATAGCTATTATCAAAAAGAAAGCAAAAAAGGACAAATGCTGGATAAGATGTGGGTAAAAAAGAATTTTCATACACTGTTGGTGGAACTGTAAGTTAATCCTGTGATTATGGAGAATGATATGAAATGTTCTGAAAAAACTAAAAACAAAGTCACTATATAATTCAGCCCTTCTCCTTTTGGAATATGCAATATGGAATCTGAGATATGGAATCAGCTAAGGTATATAGTAGGGATAAAGAAAATACAGCATATATGCACAACCAAATATTATATCCAGCCATAAAAAGAATAGCACCTTGTCAATTGCAGTAAAACAAAATAAGAGGCCATTATGTTATGTGAAATCAACTAGACACAGAAAGAAAAAAACCACTTGTTTTCCTTCATATTTGAAATTCTAAAAATAATCTGAATATAGAATAGTGATTACTAGAGGTAAGGGAAAGATAAAGACAGGGTGGATAAGGAAGGTTGAATTATTTTGAGGTACATTGAATTCATGTATTGAAATATCACTATGTACTTCAGTAATATGCAAAAAGAAGACAAGTTTATCAAAAATTAAAGCTCAACTTAAAAAATGAAAACACTGGTGAAATGTATTTAAAGATCTTGGTATAAAAATATATATTTCACAAGAAAAAAACTTTGGCAAAGGATAATTTACAATGTAGGCCATGAGCAACCTGTGTAAAAACTTTGTCACCTGGAATATTAGCCTGAGACAACATAGAAAATAGGTCAGAGAAAATATGAAGATAATTGTGAGAAGTAAAACACACTGAACGAAGTTCCTGATCAACAATTTTCTAAAAGAAACTTTTGGCATTCATCTAGTACACACTTCTTTTTCTTTCCTTGCATAATTATATTCCCCATCATGCTACAACTTCTAATTACTTTATTTTTATGTTACACATCTTTCAACTCACACAAAAAGGTAGTATTTGAAGTTAAAAATGTACTTCAGTAGCACTGATTTAGACTTTTCAATATTTTCTTTCCTCAGGTGATGTGAAGTCAGCATTCATCAAAAATCAATGGATGGGCTAAACGGCTCCATGGTTTCTGAATTTGTGTTGCTGGGACTCTCAACTGCCTGGGAAACTAAAGCTTTTCTCATGCTGACATTCTCCTTACTCTACTTAGGGATCATCTTGGGAAATCTCTTCATTGTCTTCTTAATAATTGTTGATTCTCATTTGCATTCTCCTATGTACTTCCTGCTGGCTAACCTGTCCTTCAATGATGTGTGGATTTCCTCTACCACAATTCCTAAGATGATCTCAGATATCTTAAGTGAATACAAAGTCATTTCTTTCCAAGGATGTATGACACAGATATGCTTCATCCACATCATGGGAGGAGTGGAGATGGTGCTGCTCATAGCCATGGCATTTGACAGGTACATTGCAATCTGTAAGCCTCTTCACTACTTGAACATTATGAGCCCTAAAAGGTGTGCTTCATTTGTAGTCCTTGGCTGGGTAGTAGGAGTGATCCATGCTATGTCTCAATTTTCTTTTGTTATAAACTTGCCTTTTTGTGGTCCTAATAAAATAGATAGCTTTTACTGTGATTTTCCCAGGGTTATAAAACTTGCATGCTTAGATGGAGCCAAATTTGAGTTTGTTGTTGCAGCCAACAGTGGCTTTATGAGCATGGGCACCTTCTTCCTGCTTCTGCTTTCCTATGTCTTCATTTTGATCACAGTCTGGAAACGATCTTCAGGAGACTTATCCAAGGCACTTGTTACTTTGTCAGCTCACATCACTGTAGTTGTCCTTTTTTTCACTCCGTGTATGTTTCTGTACGTGTGGCCTTTCCCCACATCACCAATTGACAAATACCTGTTCATTGCTGACTTTGCAATCACCCCTGCCTTGAATCCTGTCATCTATACCTTAAGGAACAAAGACATATTGATAGCAATTCAAAGACTGAGAAAACAGATTCATTATGACAGATTTTGCTGACCAGATGTATTTTTGGATCTCTAAAACTGTACATCCACCTTTCTGTTATTTATCTCTACTGTGGCATCTGACTTTAGAGTAGTCAATGGACATGGCATCTACCTCATTAAACATAGTTCTATTCCTCCCATAGAGTATTTATTTACCTATTGCTTTCTATTAACATAAGAAATGAGAATCCCCTATGACATGTTTATTCAGGAGACATAAACAATGTGAAAAAATAATATGTTTTTAGGATTTAAATTGTGTTCATTTGACCAAAAGAAAAGATAACAATGACATGTCTTTTTTTCCCTATAGGTTTAAAAGTAAAATCTAATGCTACCTTGGTAAGTTTAAGAAACCATCAAATTAAATGCTTAGTTAATTCTGTTGAGCACATTACAGGAAATCCCAAAGATAAATTTGAATGCACACATTTTATTTTGCAGTTAATTTGTGGACGTATGAATAGGGAAATAATACCTAGACAAAAGTCACATTTATGCTAAAAACCACCTGGGATGCAAGCCTACTGTGACCCACTAGGAGATGATATAAACTCTGATTAGAATTATCTCAATCAAAGGGCAACATATCACATAAAATATTCTGTGCTTTCTAGGAAGCTGGGATAAGCTGTCAGATACATGTTCTGATGCTTACACAAAAGAACCATTACTAATAAAGTGAACGAAAGGGTACCCTCCTAATATTGCTTTGTTGCTTACAGAAGAATAACTTAAACCTTATATTACATCATCATTATCATTTTTCTTGATACATGAGCACAAAGAACTCTGTTTTTTAAATTTTCCTCTGATTCTCTGCTTTGCACCATTCATACAAGACCAGCAGCTTGGGTCATGTGTCACGACCATGTGTCATGATCATGTCATGGCCAAGGGTCATTGGGATACTTTCAGCAGTCGATGCCCTGCCCATTGTTTCAGCTGACATACGTGGCTGTCATCTCCCAACTACAAAATTCATCTGCCTTCTGCAGTGACAGGAACTGAAATGTTAGTTTTTGTTAGTTTATATCCCTATAGACAAAAATAAACTATTTTTATGTGTGCATGCAAAAATAAAAAAAAATCTACAGAGTATTTTTAAATTCTCATTTTAAAATTTTTATACATTATAACTCTATTTGTATGTTTGCTTCTGAATTTGAGAAATGCACACTGTTAGATTATTCTCCCAGTCCAGGGAAACATATATCACTTGAGGAAACACCATGGCCAGAGACTCAGCATTAATAACATATCCATTTGACTTGCTTACAGCACTGAATTGTCAAATTTCCCACTCCAGAGTCTTCTCTACGCAGTAATATGTTCCCGTGGATTGCAATGCTCTCCATTAACAATGTCCAAAGAGAAACTTTGGTCTTCACTGGGTTACAAATAAATTATAGGTCCTTGTTAGAACTGAGAATCAGCACTATGAATGGAAAAGAATCAGATCTCAGATAATGATGTTCCTGAGATACATCTTATACTCTATGATGATTTTTAATGTTTTTTTTTCATCCTTTTACTCCATACACTTGAGCTACCACCACAGTGATATATGTTCATAAATTTCAGAGGATTTTAATATCAACTTTCTCTGTATACTCATTGGGAAATTCTAGAAGTTTTGTAAAGTTTCCATAAGAATTAAAAATTTCTTCTTATATAATTCCTCAGTCTCCTGGACTTTCTATAGAAAAGAATCTTCTGGAATCAATAATATACTTTCTTTATACTGTCTCAGAGTTCCCTTGGTATCAAGACTCTGGTAAGCTCATTTTCATATCACAATGAAGTTCTCCTTAGGATTAAGGGATGGCCCTTGACAAAGATACGTAATGGCAAATAAAAGTATTTCTAATAAGGAAATGGTTGCTAAGTGTTGCTTACAAAAAGTTTACATCAGGAAGCACCTGTATGAACCATAAAGAAGGAAGTTTCCAAAATGCTATCAGAATCACTTATTTGCCACAAAATAAAGGACTAAAGAGAGTTAGGATGGCACCTTATAAGAAGTAGCCAAAGAACCTTAGATATGTATCCCCAGAATGTTGCCTCCCAGTTCTGCAACTTCCACAAGTTACACTCCCAGAGACAAAATCTCTCAACAGAAGGTTTATTTCATGGGGTTATTGTGAAAAATATGCCATACAAGGTGAGAAGAAGCTCCTGGAAATCTTACAGGTATGTACATATTCTAAGGTTATTCTTTTTTATTTCCCCATGGGTATACATTCTCCTTAGGGAAATGCCTCCCTTGAAGCACATATTTGACCTTGGAGCATGAAGATTTACCATTCCCACCTTTAGCACTTCTTATTAAAAGTTAATATTAAGAGAACTAAGTAGAATTATCTAAATAGAATTATTTCCCTGATTATTAGTATGAATTGAATTTCATAGATATTAATACCAATCTTATTGTTAATCAAGAAAAATATGAATAACATTTCACACTCAAGAACACTGTGAGGGTGAGAAGTAACCCTGGGCTTTGGAACAATCCACAGCACCAGGTGTTTCCAGAGGTGTCCAATGTGGACTGTGCTCCTCCACGAACATGGTCAATAAATGCCTATAACCTCACTGGAGAAACTTGGATCCTCCAACATCGTTAACTATATAATTCTAATCTTCTAGTGCAAACTTTGTCTGCTCCCAGCTCTATTTGTGAAAATTCCTACTTTTACACAGGATCATGGTGAGGCCAAGCCAATTTAGAGATAACTTTTAAAGAACTTACACTAACACTATAATACAACTTTTATGAATATTGGCCACTTATTTCAACTTTTTGAAAATTATGGTTACAAAGATTTGCATCATTGAATATACAATAAACTTTTGGGTTCAGAATATCTATTCTTAGTTTTTTACTTGAGTAAAAGAGAATTCTATGTATTATGAATACATGAATGTTTACACAATTCTATTCTCCACAATATAAATTGGAATAATTATAATGTTCTAGAGTGGAAAGAAATATGCATGCAGTGGGATACTTCTTAGCAACCGAAACAAACTATAGTACATACAACAGCATGGAAGAATCTCAAAGACTCAGTAAAAACACCTACACTAAAAAAGGAAACACTGATTCTGGAAAAGCAAATCAAAACCACAATAGAATAAGATCTTGTACTTATTAGTATGTCTACTATCCAAAAGCAGAGATATCAAATATGCTGAAGAGGTGAAGAAGTGAATACTTTTATAATCTTGGTATAAATGAAAATTAGTACAGATCCTATTGATAACACCATGGAGGATTCCCCCAAATTAGAAACAGAAGAGCTAGGCATGGTGATGCCTGCCTGTAATCCCAGCACTCTGGGAGGCTGAGATACGGGGATCATAAGGTCTACCCTGGCCAGAGCAATTTAGTAACTCAGCAACACTGTTTCAAAATTTTAAAAAAAATTAAAGGGAGATAGGTCCTGGCAAGACAAGTACTTTGAGTTAAACTTTGAAAATACTGATACACAGTGTATTAGCTATTGTTATTCTCAAATTATTTTCTTATGAAATTTTTTTCATAAGTTAAAATTTTTTTTAACATTCAAAGAGTGCAAACATGGCTGAATAGAGGAGGAGCCATACCTGAGCTACTCTGAGAAAATCAACTAAAAACACAGCGGCTGACTGGAACCTCCAGTGACAAGGTTAGGGACCTGCAGTGGCATTGAGGATAGGGGGTGGAACAACATGACGCCTCATGCCCTATGACTAGCACAGGAGAGAGAGAGAGGGACTCATACCATGAATGTGGCTGTAACTAGTGGTGTGAACAGCCTTAGGCATTGGGGGACAAGATGTGGGAAATTAACACTCCCCTACCCAACCACCAGTGGCACAAGCACCCTTTAACCAGGAAGTCAGCACTCCTGCTGCCAATTTCTGGCCAGCAGGACAAGCAACCTTGGGTGGACATAGCAGGACAGGAGGGCAGAGCTTGAGAGGAGCCAGCAGTGTGGAACAGAGGAGGCTGTGCAAGGTCCGGGAGGGGTCAACTGTACTTGAGACTGCAAACAGCCTGGAGGTGTCTCTGTCTAAAGGCGCCAAAGCAACTGGAAGATTGACACTGAAACAAACAGGGTAAAGAGATGTGGGCAGGCTGTCCAGAAAGCTGCTGGCTAAAGATTGGCCCCAGCCTCCACATCTAAAGGCCAAGATCAGCTCCACACCCAGCACTAATCCTACTGAGACTGGGCAGAATTATCCAGCACAGATTTGGGCTCTAACATGGACACTACCACTGAACTGTGGGCACCAGAGGAATTTTTGTTTTTCTTCTTTCTGTCTTTGTCTATTAGTTTGTTTCCCTCTCTTTTTTCTGTTCTTTTGGAGGGTTTTTTGTTTGTTTGTTTAGGTCAGGACTTTATTGTTTGTTTTGTTCTGCCCATCCTATTTGTTTCTGTCTTTCCTCAACTGTCTTTCTTGATTTTTTTGATACTTTCATATGAATGAATATTGTTACCAATCTTACTGGTTCACTTTGATATTCCTTTGCTTTCCCCTTCATTCTTTCTCTCCCATCCTCTTCTGTTTCCCAAAGCTTGGGTGATCATCCTCTCTCCCTCAGCATTGCTTCTACTATATTTCTCTTCAGTTATCACTGTTTCTTCCCCTATCCCTCTTAAACCTCCCCTCCCCAAAGGTAAAATCACTCTACCAAGGGGAAACTCATGGATTACCAGTTCACGGTTTATGTTGGATATTGTTACATAGCTATAGATCTTGGTCCTATGGTTAAAAGTATCAAAGTAGCAATTACCACAGTTTTCCAATTTCTAAACTGTGTTTGAAGATATTGTTACTGCTAATTGTACTACATTACCCAGGATGCCATACCTGTTGCAATCAGTTGTTCACCCTTGTATGGCAACACTGTGATTGTCTGGGACCATAATCATCACCATAGTCTAGTACCAAAGGACTAGGAACTGAGCCAAATACATAGCAACTGAACATCCCTAATAAATTGGGAAGGTAGGATCTTGG